GTAAAATCCCTACAAGTACCGAACATAAAAATATATGGTTACTTCCATAGTCCTAAATTATTAGTGAAAGACCAAAATCCTTTGCTGACAGATGAAAACAAGTAACATAAATTGAATATTTCCAATTGATTTCTTACACTTATTTACCTGGTCATGACAACTACCCTCTCTTCATAGGATATAGGTTTTTCAGCTGCTTCTACATCTCCACACTCCCTAGACTGAGACCACAAAGATAAACCCTTAGAGCATTTCCAGAGCCTTTCATTTTTGTCTGAGCTTTAGCTCTAAGTATCTGCAGTATCAGCATCATCATATCAAATCTCTTGGAGCCGTGGCAACTTGGCACTTGATGAGACTCACAGGCAAATTGACTCCCTCTGCTGGAAAGAAGGGAAATATTTTGCAATAAGGGTTCTATGAGTAGCCTGCTGCTCTCAAGAAATCCGGGTAATCAGGTAATGATCTGCTGTTGTTTTATGGTAGCGGTCCTTACTCATTGTTTAATTGTGCCTAATATATATTCTAATGATTGGGTACTCCACTTCTCCAGGTATGGATTTCTTGATCCCAGATTCTGAAGGATGTCACACACCTTACCTTATCCAACACCTGAGGACACCTGATTGTCTGTGTGTCTGTCTATCTACCTATTTATCTATCTATTTTAATATGTCTTCATATATACATACATGTATACAACTAATAAAGTCATTGAAATCTTGATATAGCTAACAATCTCTTATACTAAAAATCTCTGATTAGCTCCAGCTTTGACTGATTCTTCCTGGATATTACAAACTCAAAAACAGAAACTTAGAGTAATAGGTATTAGCCCACAAATCCTCATTGATTGTAAAATGTATTACTTTCCTATAAAATCATTCAATTTATGCTAGTCCACTCTGAAATTGTCTTTTATTTAAAACAAATTCCCAAGTAGTTCTACCTATGATTAGATTGAAACTGCTTCTGAAAGAAGCTGTTCAAACTGTGCTCTGACTTGGTGGGAATTACTGAAATCAGCTAGTTAATAAATAAATAAGTCAGTTTGAAAGTAATAAAATAGTCCCTGGAGAAAAGGATTAGGTCCTAATTCTTGTGGTAACACAGGAAACAGGCAAGACTCCAGAAATCTCTGCCTGCTGTATTACAGGGGACCGCGTTTTCAGCAGGACTAGGCAACAGACATCGTATCCCCTGGAACAGCATGACTGTTACAAAGTAAATAAAATTTATTTTCTGTGATCATGCAGATGTTATGCAGGGAACTAGTGAAAGCAGCTTACCCAGAGGAACACTTTACTGACACACCTTTCCTTTCTGACACACCAAACAAATGTCTCAACTAGCTGTGCGTTCCAATACTCCAATAGAAGTGAAAATCTCTTCCACTTCTCATTCTTAGTGACATCTGTAGAATCTTTCCTTCTATAAATGAGAAATGTTAGACTTTTATTATCCCAAAGAGAGGAATACTGACATCAAGGGTGGAAGAAGGCTACATACCACTCATAACTCTTACTGGACTATTTCACATCACGAAATAACAGAACAAAACACATTATCATGGAAATCAAATTTCTAATATGTGCACCAATTCTGGATCACTGTACAGTTATTTTCTGTTTCCTGTGTGCCCTCTCAAATCTTACAAGTAAGCACTTTTCATATCTCATCAGCATTATTTGCTGCTGTCAGGTTACAGCAAGGAAATCTCAGGTCTAGTTTTCTTCAAAGAGAAATTCCCTCACTTTGGGAAACTGGGCTCTAACTTTAAAGTAATGCATAAAAATATTTGTTGTTTCCTATTCCATATAGTGAATGTGTGTATATGAAGTTTCACATTTCATATAGACCTGGTGTTTAGCAGAACTCTGCACCTCCCAGCTTCTTCAGAAACAATCCTTCACCTAGGATATCCCAGCAGCTGACTAAAAGGCTCAGGCTTACCTTAAGGGAAAACCGAATTAAAATCAAAACTTTTCTCTACTGCCAGGAGAGAGGCAGGCACTCAGTCACTCATTGTCACGAGTTGCCTCTGTGGTGGATGCTACAGAGAATCAGCCCAGACACCTCATTTTGCACCTCACTTTGCAAGCTCCCCCTATCCAGGTTATATATGTCAATTTCTTTTGGGCTTGATTATGTGTAGGGGAAAATCAGAATTTCCTTATTTTGGAAGAGAAAAGTTAAGATTAAAACAGTACAGCAGAAGCACCATTTCACTATTTCTGTAAAGGTTTCACTTTTATAGGATGGCAGAAGCTAAAGGCTCTGTTATTGATCATTCATTCATTCATTCATTTTTCATATCTTGCTCCTTCATCATTTCTTGGAGATTTTATCACATCTTTAAAATTTATCTTCTGGCAGAATTGTCTGAAAGACAATCTGAAAAGAAAGAAAATCTGAAAAAGTCCAAATAATAAACCAACAATTCTACCAAGGCTGCAGTTAAAATTTTTAATAAGATTCTTAAAAAAGACGATGGTATGCACTATTGCTTCTTGAGAAATGCAACTGACACGTATGTTTGTATTTCTGCTCAGTCTGAATAACACAATTTTCAAATCTTTAGAGTAAGTGTAATTCTTCATCATGCATTTCCATCAAAGTCAGTGGTAGGATCAACTTGGCCTGGCAGTTTGGTAGTTATTGCAGTGACAGGCAGTGCTAAGTGCATCACAGCAGTGTACAAGAAGCTTAAGGACAGGATGAATCAGAAAACATTAAATTTTTGTTTGCAAAAACACAGTTTCCCCTATGCCTTTTTTTTTTTTATTTGACCACTAGACGTTAAATTTGCTTTGCTGCCCATAAGAATAAAAGGCCATTTGTACACAGTAATTGCTGTAGACAGATTGTGAATGTTCAATTCTTTTCCAGAGAATTTGCTACTGCATATAGGCAAAGCAGCTCAACATGCACTCACAAAAAGTCTAAATGGAGAATTTAGCATACATTCATGTCATTTATAATGCTCAGCATGTACTGTGGAAATGGCCCCTGAAATTTAATGTGGACAAGTTGCATCAAGCTGAGTATACACAAACAAGCCATATATAAAGTGCTTATTCATGCATTCTGTCTGGGAATTCTCAGGCAAAGCATGGTAGCTGTAACAATGGCTCCTATTAAGATTGTAATCTAGGTTTATAGCTCTGAAAAGAAGAATTTTATTAACTAGTATGACAGTATAGAGACATTCTGAAGTATGCTCTCATATTACTTGAATTTTATTGAATACTTAAAAATTCACCTAAATTAACTCCAAAAATGAAAATCTCAGCCCAGCAATTTTTTCTTTCATGCATTTAGGGTATTGCTACACAAACTGATGCTTGAAAGGAATAAAATACATTTTACAAATATCTAGGCCTTTTTGTTTTTCCAGTGAGCTCCACCAAACACATGGTGAAACATCCACTCTTGAATACTTTATAAGTGCTCCATTAATGGAGGCAGCCCCGGACCAAGAATGAAATGAAATGAAGGTTGAATGTTGTGAATCACCATTCCCCATCACTGACAGAGAAATGAACCATTGTGAGCAACTACAGAGCAGGCACAGCCTTGCAACAGCAGGTTTCTGAGCAATGTGCTGGAAAGATTTGACTGCCATCTACAGACACGAGTAACTAGTGCACTCACTGGTAGCAATTTGAAAAGAACCCCAAAACTATAAACCTTATAAACGTCCAGTGTAGATATTAGACAAAACCTAATTATGTATGTATGTACAAAACAGTGGAGCTACCTGAAAAAGCTTCCCAGTTGGTTTTTATGTTGTTGGGTTTTTTTGGTTTGCTTTGGTTTTTTTCCTCATAAACACACAGAGAAAAGCGAGCTTCTTCATTCTCTAGAGTGGCTTGAGAGTTAATAGCTACAAATCCAGTGTCTAGTAGTGCCTAAAGATTAGTAGCTAGAAATGGAAAATACTAACATTTTCCTTGTATTTAAAGTATTAATTATTAAGTGCTGATTTTTACATAGTAAGTTCTTAGTTAAAACTGTCTTAAATACTTGTCATACAGAGTCATCATTCGTTTGCAAACCCACAAAATTTTCAATTACATAGTGAATTTCTAATCATATGTACAGTGACCAAATGCTTGTATGTGGGTACAGCTGTACCTACATCATCTACACGGAGTTTTCTGTTACATTTTGGCTACCTGATCAAGCTAGTTCACAACAGGCCAACATATCACAAAATCAGGAACTGCACAAAGATTTTCTTTCAGCTGTTCAGAACAGCTAGCTAGTAGTTCAGCTCCCCCTCATTGAACACCCTCTTTTCACTCCTACTTAAAACCGCTTTCCTTTATCTGACAGCTGCTGCTGCCAAACTGTCTTTAATTCCTATCCAAACTATCTCAATAGCTAAGTAGTTACCCTGCTAAAATCCTCTTGCAAAAATTTTGTTCTAAACTTTCAAAATCATTGCACAGCAAAAGGAAAAGAGATCAGGAGAGCCATGTATTTAAAGGATTGAGTATGAATGACACAATTACTTACAACCATACAAATTATACTTCTGTAATTAAAATTATTTACACATCACACAGAACTGTTCTCAAGAATTATTCTTCAGAGATCAAAATTAAATATAAACCTTAATATGCAGGATATTTAAACAAAAAACCAGGTCACAGTTAGAAAAGCCTGTAGGCCCATACAGAAGAAAACTTTCAGAAGTTAGAATTGATCACAACATTCCACACATGAGACTGTCTTCTCATTGTTGTATCATCCATCAGTTTTCATTAAATATTTTCAGACAGTGTGTAATTTCACTTGAATTCCCAACACATATGAATATGTGGATTAATTGGATTTGAATACTGGACTAATTTTAGTGTCATATGTTGAAACTTAACACTTTCAAAAAGCATTTACACTGAAGAAGATCTGTTTAGACATGGCCATTAAAGTGAAGAAAAGGAAATCAAACATGTACTTACTCTACATTTTGAAACTTGAGCCTTTTTTCTTACCTGAGTACCCAAACAAGCAACCATCATGTGAGTGAGAAGTTTAGCTGCAAACATGGCACACCTGGTGCAGAAAAGGTGGGAGATGATAGCCAAAGTGAAACCTACAGAAAAAGGACAATGAAAATAGGAAAAAAAAAAAAAGGAATATGTAAGCTTAAACTAATAAACTCTTCTATTCTATCATTCAGCAGATGTTTCTCAAAGGTGCAGATTACCTAAAAAAAAAAACAACCAACCAACCTTAGAGAAAGAGTATGTTCATTTTGATTCACAATGGGATCATTCATGAGTTTTTTTCAAGTACTAACATATATTTAATGTCCCCATAGGAGTTGAAATAATTTCATAATGTAAATAAGCAATTTTTGAAAAGCATTTTTGTGTCACTTTCTGCATGATATGGATGATTATCATAATAGTTACATACAAAGCAAGAGTAACTGTTCAGTATCCACATTAGTGCATCCAAAAATTTTTTTAAATTACATAAAAAGTTCTAAGTTACATAAAAAATGCCTCCTGTTGTGTAGCACTATTTTAGCAAATAGTTATAACCTTCTAAATGCCAATCTCCCATTTCATCTGTGTTGAGCACAAAAATTTGTTGTAGCAGTACTCAGGAGAAACACCACTTTTTATTTAACTTATTAATTGTAAACATGAACAGAACACAAATGGTAGGCCCTTTCCTACCAGCATGTAGTTCCTGGTAAAAGGATTCTAGGAAAGTTATGGCACCAAGGAAAACACAACTAAATCTCAGAGTTAATTAGAGTTAATTGTGCATTCTCACACTGTAGTCAGGGCAGGAATTTAGGTAATCAAGGCAGATCTTTTATGTTGGTCTTGAGACTGACTATTTGTTCAATTAGCAGGATTTGTAAGATTTGAGTGAAATAAATAATTGCTGAAAGTATTATTTCTACGTATTCCAATATTACTTATTGATATTTATATGACTATCTACATGATCTCTCTTTTTTCTTTCTTTTTTATATTCTTCAGAGCTAGATGGAAATGTCAAGATAAATGAACAATATCCTTATCACTCTTAAAAATAAAACTATTTGTTTTTTAAAATATTCATTTAAATCCAGTAAACTGTATCATCACACAAGCAAGCATCTTCAACCAGTCAAAAAATCTGAAAGGATTGGAAAGCATTTGCCTCAAGTTCAAAGTAACCCCCCAACTTTCATTTTTAAAACACAGTTTTATGACATATGACTACAGTAAAGGACTAGTTCTGAGCAATTATCTACATCTGTATTGCTTCCAATTCAGCAAAATGTTTCCTTAGCTTTGCAAATTTTTTTCTTCAGTTTCTATAGCATTTTGAATTTTACAGTATTTTTTTCCACCAACTTACTTGTTTTTCCTTTGTAATCCAGTAACCGTACCTTAAAATACACTTATTTTTATGTGCTAAAATCTTCTTTTTTTATTTTTAAATATAACCATCAATTTGTGTATAACAGGTAAAAAACCTGAGTGGTTTCTTCTGTTTCTTTGTCTTTCTTTTCCTTGTCTGACATTTTAAAAAAATTAAGGAGCCTAGATTTAACCTGTTAGGGCAGTTTGCTTAGAAGGGACAAATACATGATTAAGCTTCTTGTATGATTTTTGTTACTCATATAGTGATGATCTAATATAGAAGTCATTAGCCTCACAAAGAGCACACCCAGACCCCCATTTAAGAGGGTTAGTCAAGAATTGCATTTAGCATGTTTTCTTAATAAGCCCATTACTCTTAGTGCCTATAAATGCAGGAGTTCATTTCCAACCTAAATAATTCTATGGTTCTAAGAAAAATTTACTATAAATTGTGGTTGCTGCAATATAATAGGAACCCAGGGGCAATATGAAGGGCTCTTTCAGAAGCCAAGTTGAGTTTAGAATTTAGATCCCCTGTTTCCTGTTTGGCATTTTGGGACTTACACTGTTGAGGCTGCTGTTGAAGAGAGTCATGTTCCTTATACGTTAAACTCTCAGGATTTTCTCCCTCGATCTTGGCCAGCAGTTGGGCAGAAGAGTGTAATGGAATCCATCTCTCCTGAGTTATCACTTCTGAGTGTAAATTCCAGCTAAGTTTATCAAAGAAATTTGACAAAGAGGATGACTGTACTGCTTCTAGCAGCACAGATGATTTTAGGATTTTTAAGTTTCTTCCCCCAAATGAATGATATGTTATCTCTTTTCAATCAAGCATCTCAAGAAACAGCCAATCAGACAAGTAAGGGGTGTGCCACATGTAGTAGATTTAAATGGCCCTAGGGAGATTGTTGACCCAGACCAGGCAAACAGGGGCATGGCACAGCAGTTTGGACAGAAGGGGTGCAGCTCCTCTCCTGGCTCCTGATGGTGGGTTGTATATTAGATGAGTGTTTTGGTTGGGTTTTTTTGGGTTTTTTTCCCCCACTGACTTGACTAGATCCAGCAACAGTTTACAAATGGTCAAAAGCCATTGCTGCTGCTGCCGTCGGAAGTGTGCTAAGGCAAACAGAGGCCCCAGGAAGGACACAGCTCTCCAGACCCCTGGCTGCAGGGAGTGTCTGAGCCTGGGGGAGTACCAGAGGACAGTGCAAAAGGCACCTGTGTGTGGTGTGAGCAGGTGAATGATCTACTCTGTCTGGTGGCAGGGCTTAAGCAAGAAGTGGAAAGGCTAAGGAGTCATAGGGAGAGCAAAAGAGAAATGGGCTGGTGGAGCTACAGCCTTGCAACCCTGAGAGGAGCTCGGCAGGAGTCAGAGGAGCCCTGTTCCTTTTACCATCAGGCAGCAGGAGGACACCTAGCAGATGGGGAGAATGGAAATGGGTACCTACTTGGAGAGGTAGCAAAATTCCCTCCGGACCCCCATCACCTTCCCGGGTGATTAAGACCTCACAGAATAAGCACAAGGCCCTGGGTCCAGAGGCTCAGGCAGATGACAGTAAACAAAGAAATCTGTCTAGAGAGTCTCCCAGGTGCACTTGTTTGTCAGATGGATCACAACCTCAGGAAATTAAGAATAAAAGAAGGGTAGCTGTAGTAGGTCACTCCCTTCTGAGGGCCCTCTATGTCAACAAGACCCATCCCACAGGGAAGTCTGCTGCCCTCCTGGGGCCCACGTATGGGATATCAGCCCCCTGATTATTACCCACTACTGCTTGTCAAGATTGGCAGTGATGATGTTGACACAAAGGGTACAGGGTCACTAAAAAGGACATCAGGGCTCTGGGTTGGTTGGTTGGTTGGTTGGTTGGTTGGATGGTTGGTTGGTTGGTTGGTGGGGCAGGAGCACAGGTGTGGTTCTGTTAGTTCCTTCAGGAGCAGGGATGAATGATAAAAGGAATAGGAAAACCCACATTACCAATGAGTAGCTTAAGGGCTGGTTCCATCAAAAGAATTTTGGTTTTTCTGCCGTGGGCAATTTTTATAGCACCGGGCCTGCTTGAGTCAGGTTCCATCTGTCTAAC